GCTGCTCGGTTCGGGCGGCTCGTTCTGGGTGGGGTCGTTCGGGGCCGCTAAGGGCGAGCGCGGGGAGCGGGTGGGGCCGTTAGGGACGAGCGCGGGGCCGACGTGGGCTTCTAAGGGCGAGCGCGTGGCCGATCGGGGCCGTAAGGGACGAGCGCGGGGCCTGAAGGGCAAACGCGGGGCCACCCGGGGCCTTAGGGACGAGCGCAGGGCCGATTCAGGGCCGTAAGGGTGAGCGCGGGGCCGTTCAGGGCCACTAAGGGCGAGCACGAGGCCGACGTGGGCCGCTAAGGGCAAACGCGGGGCCGATCGGGGCCGTTAAGGACGAGCGCGGGGCCGACGCGGGCCTCTAGGGGTAAGCGCGGGGCCGATTCGGGGCCTCTAAAAGCGAGCGCGGGGCCGATAGAGGCCTCTAGGTGCGAGAGCGCGGGGCCGACGGGGCCTCTAGGGGCGTGAACGCCGAGGCGCCCTAGGGCGTAGATAGGTAGGTAGGTAGGTAGTGGTGGGCCCTAAAAAATCGGTCCTAGGAAGGACCTACTCTGATACCATGTTGAACAAGAATGAATGAACTAACAGTGAAATGAGTACAAGTATGAAAACCTAGAAATGTGTACTCCCTATAGGCTAACCCACTGTAGCCTAAACAACTACAACAACATATATAATGCTTGACACTCGCCACTCACTCTCAGCTCTGCCTTCGGATGAGTCCGTAGAGTCGAGTGGCCCGTATCCAGAGCTTGTTGGCTGCCTCATGTACCTGATGACCTGTACACGACCTGACCTTGCATACCCTCTTAGCATTCTCGCACGCTATGTTGCTCCTGGGAGACACCAACCAGAGCACATGGCTGCAGTGAAGAGGGTGTTGCGCTACTTGTGCAGTACGTCGGGCATGGGGCTAGTGCTTGGAGGGCGGAGTCCAGTGGTCCTCACTGGGCATGCAGACGCTTCTTGGGCTGACGACCAGGCTACGCAGCGGTCGTCACAGGGATACACCTTCAGCCTTGGTTCCGGCTCTGTTTCGTGGCGGGCTACTCGCCCGTCTTCTCTTCTCGGCTCCAGTTGTGAGGCCGAGATCTACGCAGGGGCCATGGCTGTACAGGAGCTTCGCTGGCTCACCTACCTGCTGACTGACCTCGGAGAGCAGCCTCGTTCTCCTCCAGTGTTGTACGTAGGCTACAAGGCCATGCTGGCCTTGTGTCGAGAGCAGAGACTGGAGCACAGAACAAAGCACATTGCTCTCCGCTACTTCCTTGCTCGTGAGCTACAGCAGCGTGGTCAGTTGCGGCTTGCGTACGTGGCCTCTGAGGCCAACACTGCTGATGTCTTCACCAAGGCTCTTGCGCCTTGTGATCATCAGCGCTTCTGCACTCAGCTAGATCTTGTGCCTGTCTTGCCTCACTTGCTCACGTCTTGACCTTGCTTATACTGTTACATATATATATACCTGCTCTTGCTTGTCTAGCTTTATATATACATGTGTACTCCTGCATGTGAACTGGCCTTGTGGCCTTGAACTTGTGCTCGGAATGTGTGGTGACCTTGTGATCCACCCTGAGCTTGCTTTACTTTGCTTTGCTTGACTGGTCTTGTGACCCCCTGTTCTCCCCCACTTTGCCTATGGGGGTGTGTCAGAACATTGTAGCTTATACATATTGTGTAGGCTGTAGTGGGGTATCCCATAGGGGGTACAACCCAATAAGGGTTAGTACTTGTACCCACTTGTTTCATAGTTCATCCATTCTCGTTTCCTTTCACACAAAGATCCTAAGGGCTTTTCTCGGCCCAACAGTTGATCACTTACTATGGATTTCTGGATCTGGAATGGAGTAGCATTGTGGATGATTACTAACAGTGCTTCTTCAAATGTAATGCATGCTTTGCTGGTTCATCCAATTGAGAAATGAATGAACAAACAATAAGTAAATGATACCGTATGGCCCCGGATATAAGCGCAGGCCTATTAAAGGCGCATGCGCTTGTATCTGGAGCAATGCGTGACAAAATTAGAAGGAAGAAAGAGGATTGAACTAGCAAGAATGAGGATACAAATAGCAAACCCTAGAAGGGTTGTACTCGCTATAGAGCACCCCACTACAGGCTAGAACAATAAGATAATATTCTGACAATGCGCTTATGGCCGATCCTCAATTATAAGCGCACCCCCTGTAAAACCTTGATTTATTATAAGCGCATGTACAAGTTTTATTTTAAATCATGATTATAACGGTAACGATTCCCTATTTTGCAGCGAGTCCACCCACATCCATTTCTACCGAACTTCGGTTGACTCTCTTGAGCACGGGCGATTCGATCAGGAAAGGCGGAACCTTGCAAAGCCGTTGACTGACAGCCCTTTCGGGGCGAAGGAGGAGGAGGGGGGGGGGGGGGGGGGGGGGGGGGGGGGGGGGTTTGGGTGGAAAAAGGGACCATGCCTGTGCGCTGCGAGCGAGCGACTGCACGCGAGTGGCTCATATGCTGGCCTGGGGCGAAGCTGACTGACAGCACAGCCGTGGGTGCTGTGCACTGAGCGAGCGACTGTATGTGATTGGCTCATACTGTATTCTCCCGGATAAAACACCCCCCCGTAATTGTACACCCCCGGGTAGCTAATATGGGGTGGGTGTTATATCGGACCCCGTTTCTACTATACCCCCCCTTTTGGGGTGATTTTCTATAACACCCCCCTTTTCTTATAAATTCCTATTATAGCTGTTATCGAGTCCGATTCCTTACGGGAGGATATCGCGAGAATCGCTCCCTAGGTGAAATTTCGCATGTACTTTCACTTAGAATCTGCCGAGATTTCCCCACTCCCACAATCTCGCTGTCGCCACGCTGGCGAATCTTCCGCTGCAAGTGGCCCAAGAGGTGAAAATCACCTTCTCACATGAGGCACAGACACGTGACCAAACCAGTCAAGAAGTGACAGGTACCGTAAGAACACACCACCGTGCGCGATTCTGGCCTCGGCGGTTGCATGAACCCTCTGTCAGAATTATATATAACTGCATTCAGTTCTAGCTGTAGTGTAGTCATATATTTGTTCTTGCTTGGTGGTGCACCCTTCCTGAACTATAACTTGTACTTGTTTCTCATATTGCATCACTTTTCTCTTGGCACAAATCCCTCGACTCCCTCTTGGCCTAGGCTACTAAGCCTAGGCCCTAAATCTTAACTACCACACTTGTGCTCCCATTCCTAGTTAATTTCACATGGCATTAGAGCGAGTTACATCCTGGCCTGTGGGCCCGCCTCACGCTTCCGCTGCTATTTTTCCGGTCGCGCGCCTCGGGCGCGTGGCGATTTTCTTCCTGTCCCGCCCCCTGGTGGCGAGTGGCATCTTCTCTGCCCGTCGTGCGCCCCGTGGCACGCGACGGTGCCCTGCCCGTCGTGCGCCCTGTGGCATGCGACGGTGCCCTAAACTGCCCGTCGCGTGCCCCGTGGTGCACGACGGTGCCCTGAGCCGCCGCGGAACCGCCTCTGGCGCCTGCGACAGTGTCCTGAGCCGCCGAGTACCCGCCCCTGGCGCACTCGGCGGTGCCCCTGCCTCACCCGCACCTGCACTCGCTGCAGCCGCCTTTGCACCACCCGGCGCCTGCCCTTGGAGCAGCCGCCCCCGCTCCTGCACTCGGTGCAGCCGCCCCCGCTCCTGCACTCGGTGCAGCCGCCTCTGCCTCACCCCGCGCCTGCCCCTGACCTACCCGCGCCGACCCTCTGTAGCCGCTCTCCGGCTTTCTCCCCGCCCACCCCCTCCTCCTTTATCTCCCTGCAGCCGTGGGGGGGAGGGTATGGGGGTGGCGGGTGTTGGGGTGATGGGTGGAGTGCTTCCCTTCCCCTCCTCCTCCTTTCGTTCCCACTGCTGCAGCTGCCGCGGGGGGGGAGGGTGTGAGGGTGTGGGGGAGCCGGGGGAGAGGCACTGGGGTGGCGGGTGTGAGACCAACCAGCAGCCGTCCCTCCACCTCTCCTCTCTTCCCCCCTCTGCTGCTCCTGCAGCAGTGTGGGGGGGAGGGGGAGGGTGAGGGTGAGGGGATAGAGGCGTTGCCTGCTGTTGCTGTTTTCTCTGTCTGTGGTGTACCCCTGCAGGTTGTGTCTTTCACTTCGCTATTCCTGCATGCAGTTACGGGGGGATGTCAGAATTATATATAACTGCATTCAGTTCTAGCTGTAGTGTAGTCATATATTTGTTCTTGCTTGGTGGTGCACCCTTCCTGAACTATAACTTGTACTTGTTTCTCATATTGCATCACTTTTCTCTTGGCACAAACCCCTCGACTCCCTCTTGGCCTAGGCTACTAAGCCTAGGCCCTAAATCTTAACTACCACACTTGTGCTCCCATTCCTAGTTAATTTCACACCCTCGCCACGCAATTGGCTTTGTTTTAACCCTATAAAGTGCCAGAATTGCCCACTCGAATTTGCCACGTGGCAGATTCCAGTGGGCGGTCACGTTATCCTCGTATACTCGGTTTTACGGCACTGGTCAACAATCTTGAAGTGAAGTCAGACCCCTGATTTTGTTTCACGTCTTTTCTGCTTGATAAAAAATATACCATATAATATGACCCGGGTATTATGTAGGATTTTCCTTTGAGGAGACACCCCCCATTTTTTCCCAGTGGTTTTCATAATACCCTAGGGTGTTTTATCCGGGAGAATATGGTACACTGGGCCGGGGCAAGCTTGACGTGTCCTTGCCCCTGTGCGCCGGCAGAAAATCGCCCTCGCGCGATTCTGATGCCCATTTCGATTTGATTAAAAATGCAACTGTACTAGGATGCACAATTTGGTGCTTTAAATCATAATTATGTATTTGCCATTATATAAGCGCATGCGCTTATAAATTTGACTCAATCATAAGCGCACCCCCCTAAAAAACACTGTTTTATTAGCGCAGGTGCGCTTAGGGTAATACGGTAGGAATAAAATAAAGGTGCAGCTTGTCAAGCAAAGGCAGGATATTGCATCAGTGAACTCTTTGCAAAGAATCAAACGGAGTCTCAAAATTTCTCAGTATGGTGCAGCTCCTGTATTCTGATCTCTGAGAGGTTGCTCAATAGCCCTGAACCTCTCCATGCACTGCCATCCTCCATACCCTCACGCATCATCCGACTGAACTCCTCCCGGTCAATGTGCCCACTCTGTGAGGGGCAGACGGGGAAGAAAGGGGAGCAAGGGAAGGTGTGACTTGTAGGTTGCAGTAACTGGCCGTGGTGGGGGCCTTGGGGAAAAAAGCCAGACAGAGCAGGGTGCTTATCTCACATGCTTGTTGCCAATCTCCTTGAAGAGGCGCTCCACTGTCTCATCACTCTCGCCTGCTGCAAGCGTGGCCTTCAAATCAGCCATTGTGATATAGCCACGCCCCTCCCTGGAACACAGAGAGGGCGACGAGCACATGCATTAGCAGCAATTGCTTTGAAAGAAGTGGTCCATGCAACCGGGATAAAGCTCGTAGCCCATATCACAATCTTGACCGTCTTCTATGAAACTATGTGACGGCACGGCATGTGTGCTTAACAAAAACATGTCTTCTACCTGACTGCACAGAAATGCATCCTACCCTAATGGATGAGCAACAAAGACTGTCTCACGACAGCAGTGACCCACCCATCGAAGTGCAGGAATACCCACTCTATGCACGCACCATCCGTGCACTTTACGGTACCATGGTGGCCACTCTATGGTGCACCCACTCTATGCATGCTCTGACTTTCGAGGCGTCTCAAAACTCACTTGTCAAAGTGCCGGAATGCCTTGTCTATGCGCGCGGCATCCATGCGCTTCACCATGATGGCAGATGCGTACTCTGACAGGTCCAATGTGCCCGACCCCTTGCTGTCCGCCTGGCCTCCGACGGAGGGGGTGAGGTGGAAGAAAGAGGCAGGTTGATTAGGCAGTTGCACTAGCATTCGCCCTATCTGTATGCTCGCTGTCTTTGCGCTTCACCGTCTTGGCGCTTCACCATGATGGCCAGTGCGTACTCTGACAGGCCCAATGTGCCCGACCCCTTGCTGTCCGCCTGGCCTCAGAGCGGGGGGGAGAAGAGAGAGGCAGATGGGGGAGTTGGTCAATCAAAGCGAGTTGGTCAATCAAAGCGAGTTGGTCAATCAAAGCGAGTTGGTCAATCAAAGCGAGTTGGTCTCACCACGTTGACTATGTCTCGTTGTTGGACAAAGGTTGGGGAGAGGGGAGAAAGGGGGGGTGGCGCATCTGCTGAAAGCCTGCTGTATGTGAGTCGTTGTGTCAATCATTGAAAGGACCTAGATAGGGCCGCCATTGCATGGGAACAAGTCTGTAATAGGGTCAAGGAGATGAAAGTGAGGTTGGCTCAGCCTGAGTGGGGGTTGGCTTACCTCATCATGAGTGGGGGTTGGCTTAGGTCATCATGAGTGGGGGATAACTTGGCGCAACAAAATCAGGAGGATAGCTTGACTCGCCTTCACTCAAAGCTTGACTCGCCTTCACTCAAAGCTTGACTCGCCTTCACTCAAAGCTTGACTCGCCTTCACTCAAAGCTTGACTCGCCTTCACTCAAAGCTTGACTCGCCTTCACTCAAAGCTTGACTCGCCTTCACTCAAAGCTTGACTCGCCTTCACTCAAAGCTTGACTCGCCTTCACTCAAAGCTTGACTCGCCTTCACTCAAAGCTTGACTCGCCTTCACTCAAAGCTTGACTCGCCTTCACTCAAAGCTTGACTCGCCTTCACTCAAAGCTTGACTCGCCTTCACTCAAAGCTTGACTCGCCTTCACTCAAAGCTTGACTCGCCTTCACGCTTGACTCGCCTTCACTCAAAGCTTGGGTGATCTTTCGGGCCTCCTCCACTGAAAGCGGGATGTGCAGCGACTGAAACCCGACCACCAGATCAGACATCGAAATACAACCATCCCTGTCAAGATACGCACTAGGAGAAAGCTTGGCTCACCGCCTGGATGATCTCTCGGGCCTCGTCCTCTGAGAGTGGGATGTGCAGCGACTGGAAGCCGGCAACAAGGTCCGACACGGAGATGCAGCCGTCCCTGTCGAGGTCGAGATGGTCAAAGCGTGTTCGAATCACTGCCATCTCCTCCTCGTCCAAACAGCACCCCGCCACCACCTGGTCGGGGATTGGGGGAGGTGGAGGGGAAGGAGGAGGGGAAGGTGTAGGGAAGAGAGGGAAGGGAAGAAAAAGGTTAAGAATTGCAGGTGATTAATGTTGGAGTGTTAAGGGTTGCAGTGTTAAGGGTTGCAGTGTTAAGGGTTGCAAGGTAAAGAGTTGCAGGTTCACAAGGCACTTACGGCGAGGGCTCGTCGCTTGAGGTGGTTCATTTGGCAGAACTGGCGCACGCGCTTCATGACGGGAAGAGACAGTGGGCACGTTGGCGCTCCTCCCTCCCGCACCCACTCGTGCTCTGTGTGTGCGGACAGAGTGAGTGAATGAGTGTGAGGTGCAGATTTTGAGGCGCCTACAAAATGGCCTGGCCCCGCTTGCACTCGTGCTCTGTGTGTGTGGACAGAGAGAGTGAATGGAGTGTGAGGGTGTCTGAACGTGTCAGTCAGAGCGAGTGTGTTGGTATGGGTCTGCAATGTACATGCATACATGAGGATGCGTGAGAGAAAGCCTTGATCGTTTTGCTTAAGCGTGTTTTAAAGGTTTGATGCTACTCAAGACATGAGCCTCGATGTATGGGTGGGCATGCATACATGAGAATGCGTGGGAGAAAGTCCATTGAAGACTGTCAAGCAAGGTTGTCAAGACTTCCATTGAAAGACAGCCATTCAGCACCCCTCCAAGCACACCCACACGCCACGTTCTATGCACGAGCCCCCTTTCCACCTTCCCCGCCTTCCTCCCCCTTCCTCTTCCACCCCACCCCCTCCAAGACACACCCACCTCAATTTTCCTGTGTGGTGATTCGCCGGGCTGCATCGCTGTGCAACATGCGCCCCATTAGGTGCATCGCTGTGCAACATGCGCCCCATTAGGTGCATCGCTGTGCAACATGCGCCCCATCAGGTGCATCGCTGTGCAACATGCGCCCCATTAGGTGCATCGCCTACTGGGAGACAGCCGGGCAGGGCAGGGCAGGCAGGCAGGGCTGATTGCCCCCAGCTAGTGAGCCGTGCCTGCATCTACCAAGACACTCCCGAGTCACTCCCAATGCACACCTACCAAGGATCTCCTGGGTGGTGATTCTCTTGGCTGCATCGCTCTCCAGCATGCGCCCCACCAGGTGCCTCGCCTGCTGGGAGATGGCCGGCCAGGGGGCACTGCTCATCTCGTACTCTCCCTTCAGCACCGCCTCACATATCCCCTCCTCTGACACTGGTGGGAGAATGAGGGAAGGACGGGGGTGAAGGGGCAAAGGTCCTTTGCCTGCTGGGAGATGGCTCGCCAGGGGAGGCTGCTCATCTCATACTCTCCCTTCAGCACCGCCTCACATATCCCCTCCTCTGACACTGGTGGGGGAGTGAGGGAAGGAGGGGGGAAAAGAAGGGGTGCAAGGGGGCCGAAGGTGCTTGGTTTGCTGGTCGAGGGCCGGCCGGCCAGGAGCAATGCTCTGCTCATACCGGCCCTTCAATACCATCTAACACATACCCTCCTCCGACACTTTTGGGGGATGAGTGGGGGAGGGGGGAGGGGGGAGTGGAAGAAGGGGTGAAAGAAGGTGCATGGTTTGCTGGGCGATGGCCGCCCGGCCAGGTGGACTGCTCCATCTCGTACTCTCCCTTTAGCACCGCCTCACATATCCCTTTAGCACCGCCTCACATATCCCTTTAGCACCGCCTCACATATCCCTTCCTCCGATACTGGTGTGGGTGATTGGAAGTGAAGGTGCGTCAGGAAGGAGGGGAGGGGAGGGGAGGAACCAGGAGAAGGGGACCACGAAAGAAGGGGTCGTGCAGCTGCAACTGAGGTACAGTGCAGTGCGTTTCAATGCCAAAGCGCTTTGATGTTTCAGGCACTTGAATTGATGGTGGAAAAGCGCAGGAGCCAAAGATGTGAAGGCCATGGTATGGTACGCGTCAAGTGGGAGACTTTAGAGTCGGCCCAGAACATAGAGTTGAAAGGCCATGGTATGATGTAGTACGTGGCGGGTGGAGTCAACTCACACATCTCTCATACGTGGTAGTTCACATGCGCGCGTGATGGTGGACGCTGAGAATCGAACCCAAGACCTTTAATGTGCTTGAGATAACGCAGGTCCCAGAGAAATTTTGAGACACAGGAATCTACCATCTTTGCCAACATACTTTATGACCGTATTCCATTATACCGCCCCACCTCAACAAAACCCACCATCCCAGAAGGGGTCGGTGCCGCACAGCAGCATGTAGGTGATTATGCCAGCGCTTCACCACACGTCACACTTGCTGCCATAACTGCCTCGCCACACACCGCACCATGCACTACAAGAAATCACCACATTCCACTGCATCACACCCTGCGCTATGCCATATCACCTCACTACACCGTACCACACCTTAACATACCATCCCAGACTGGCGGAGTGCCACACACACAGCAGCATGTAGGTGATGACCCCAACGCTCCACACATCGCACTCCCACCATGCATTCCCAGCACTCCATATCACCGCATTCCACCATAGCACACACAACCAGATCCCAGCGTACCATCCCAGAAGGGCGGGGTGCCGCACAGCAGCATGTATGTGATGACTCCAACGCTCCACACGTCACACTCGCTGCCATAGTGTCTTCTCAACACCTCTGGCGCCACATAGTACGCACTGCCCACCACGTCCTTGAAGCGCTGCCCTGGGGAGAGAAAGACACGGCGTCAGGCGTGGGAGAAAAAGACACGGCGTCAGGCGTGGGAGAGAAAGACACGGCGTCAGGCGTGGGAGAGAAAGACACGGAGTCAGGCGTGGGAGAGAAAGACACGGAGTCAGGAGTGGGAGAGAAAGACACGGCGTCAGGCGTGGGAGAGAAAGACACGGAGTCAGGCGTGGGAGAGAAAGACACGGCGTCAGGCGTGGGAGAGAAAGACACGGCGTCAGGCGTGGGAGAGAAAGACACGGCGTCAGGCGTGGGAGAGAAAGACACGGCGTCAGGCGTGGGAGAGAAAGACACGGCGTCAGGCGTGGGAGAGAAAGACACGGAGTCAGGCGTGGGAGAGAAAGACACGGCGTCAGGCGTGGGAGAGAAAGACACGGCGTCAGGCGTGGGAGAGAAAGACACGGAGTCAGGCGTGGGAGAGAAAGACACGGCGTCAGGCGTGGGAGAGAAAGACACGGAGTCAGGCGTGGGAGAGAAAGACACGGCGTCAGGCGTGGGAGAGAAAGACACGGCGTCAGGCGTGGGAGAGAAAGACACGGCGTCAGGCGTGGGAGAGAAAGACACGGCGTCAGGCGTGGGAGAGAAAGACATGGCGTCAGGCGTGGGAGAGAAAGACACGGAGTCAGGCGTGGGAGAGAAAGACACGGCGTCAGGCGTGGGAGAGAAAGACACGGCGTCAGGCGTGGGAGAGAAAGACACGGCGTCAGGCGTGGGAGAGAAAGACACGGCGTCAGGCGTGGGAGAGAAAGACACGGCGTCAGGCGTGGGAGAGAAAGACACGGCGTCAGGCGTGGGAGAGAAAGACACGGCGTCAGGCGTGGGAGAGAAAGACACGGAGTCAGGCGTGGGAGAGAAAGACACGGCGTCAGGCGTGGGAGAGAAAGACACGGAGTCAGGCGTGGGAGAGAAAGACACGGCGTCAGGCGTGGGAGAGAAAGACACGGCGTCAGGCATGGGAGAGAAAGACACGGAGTCAGGCGTGGGAGAGAAAGACACGGCGTCAGGCGTGGGAGAGAAAGACACGGCGTCAGGCGTGGGAGAGAAAGACACGGCGTCAGGCGTGGGAGAGAAAGACACGGAGTCAGGCGTGGGAGAGAAAGACACGGAGTCAGGCGTGGGAGAGAAAGACACGGCGTCAGGCGTGGGAGAGAAAGACACGGAGTCAGGCGTGGGAGAGAAAGACACGGCGTCAGGCGTGGGAGAGAAAGACACGGAGTCAGGCGTGGGAGAGAAAGACACGGCGTCAGGCGTGGGAGAGAAAGACACGGCGTCAGGCGTGGGAGAGAAAGACACGGCGTCAGGCGTGGGAGAGAAAGACACGGCGTCAGGCGTGGGAGAGAAAGACACGGAGTCAGGCGTGGGAGAGAAAGACACGGCGTCAGGCGTGGGAGAGAAAGACACGGCGTCAGGCGTGGGAGAGAAAGACACGGCGTCAGGCGTGGGAGAGAAAGACATGGCGTCAGGCGTGGGAGAGAAAGACACGGCGTCAGGCGTGGGAGAAAAAGACACGGAGTCAGGCGTGGGAGAGAAAGACACGGCGTCAGGCGTGGGAGAGAAAGACACGGAGTCAGGCGTGGGAGAGAAAGACACGGCGTCAGGCGTGGGAGAGAAAGACACGGCGTCAGGCATGGGAGAGAAAGACACGGAGTCAGGCGTGGGAGAGAAAGACACGGAGTCAGGCGTGGGAGAGAAAGACACGGCGTCAGGCGTGGGAGAGAAAGACACGGAGTCAGGCATGGGAGAGAAAGACACGGCGTCAGGCGTGGGAGAGAAAGACACGGAGTCAGGCGTGGGAGATAAAGACACGGCGTCAGGCGTGGGAGAGAAAGACACGGCGTCAGGCGTGGGAGAGAAAGACACGGCGTCAGGCGTGGGAGAGAAAGACACGGTGTCAGGCGTGGGAGAGAAAGACACGGCGTCAGGCGTGGGAGAGAAAGACACGGAGTCAGGCGTGGGAGAGAAAGACACGGCGTCAGGCGTGGGAGAGAAAGACACGGCGTCAGGCGTGGGAGAGAAAGACACGGCGTCAGGCGTGGGAGAGAAAGACACGGCGTCAGGCGTGGGAGAGAAAGACACGGCGTCAGGCGTGGGAGAGAAAGACACGGAGTCAGGCGTGGGAGAGAAAGACACGGCGTCAGGCGTGGGAGAGAAAGACACGGAGTCAGGCGTGGGAGAGAAAGACACGGCGTCAGGCGTGGGAGAGAAAGACACGGCGTCAGGCATGGGAGAGAAAGACACGGAGTCAGGCGTGGGAGAGAAAGACACGGCGTCAGGCGTGGGAGAGAAAGACACGGCGTCAGGCGTGGGAGAGAAAGACACGGCGTCAGGCGTGGGAGAGAAAGACACGGAGTCAGGCGTGGGAGAGAAAGACACGGAGTCAGGCGTGGGAGAGAAAGACACGGCGTCAGGCGTGGGAGAGAAAGACACGGAGTCAGGCGTGGGAGAGAAAGACACGGCGTCAGGCGTGGGAGAGAAAGACACGGATTCAAGCGTGGGAGAGAAAGACACGGCGTCAGGCGTGGGAGAGAAAGACACGGAGTCAGGCGTGGGAGAGAAAGACACGGCGTCAGGCGTGGGAGAGAAAGACACGGAGTCAGGCGTGGGAGAGAAAGACACGGCGTCAGGCGTGGGAGAGAAAGACACGGCGTCAGGCGTGGGAGAGAAAGACACGGAGTCAGGCGTGGGAGAGAAAGACACGGAGTCAGGCGTGGGAGAGAAAGACACGGAGTCAGGCGTGGGAGAGGAAGACACGGCGTCAGGCGTGGAAGAGAAAGACACGGAGTCAGGCGTGGGAGAGAAAGACACGGAGTCAGGCGTGGGAGAGAAAGACACGGCGTCAGGCGTGGGAGAGAAAGACACGGAGTCAGGCGTGGGAGAGAAAGACACGGCGTCAGGCGTGGGAGAGAAAGACACGGAGTCAGGCGTGGGAGAGAAAGACACGGAGTCAGGCGTGGGAGAGAAAGACACGGAGTCAGGCGTGGGAGAGAAAGACACGGCGTCAGGCGTGGGAGAGAAAGACACGGCGTCAGGCGTGGGAGAGAAAGACACGGCGTCAGGCGTGGGAGAGAAAGACACGGAGTCAGGCGTGGGAGAGAAAGACACGGAGTCAGGCGTGGGAGAGAAAGACACGGCGTCAGGCGTGGGAGAGAAAGACACGGAGTCAGGCGTGGGAGAGAAAGACACGGCGTCAGGCGTGGGAGAGAAAGACACGGAGTCAGGCGTGGGAGAGAAAGACACGGAGTCAGGCGTGGGAGAGAAAGACACGGAGTCAGGCGTGGGAGAGAAAGACACGGCGTCAGGCGTGGGAGAGAAAGACACGGCGTCAGGCGTGGGAGAGAAAGACACGGCGTCAGGCGTGGGAGAGAAAGACACGGCGTCAGGCGTGGGAGAGAAAGACACGGCGTCAGGCGTGGGAGAGAAAGACACGGAGTCAGGCGTGGGAGAGAAAGACACGGCGTCAGGCGTGGGAGAGAAAGACACGGCGTCAGGCGTGGGAGAGAAAGACACGGCGTCAGGCGTGGGAGAGAAAGACACGGCGTCAGGCGTGGGAGAGAAAGACACGGCGTCAGGCGTGGGAGAGAAAGACACGGCGTCAGGCGTGGGAGAGAAAGACACGGCGTCAGGCGTGGGAGAGAAAGACACGGCGTCAGGCGTGGGAGAGAAAGACACGGCGTCAGGCGTGGGAGAGAAAGACACGGAGTCAGGCGTGGGAGAGAAAGACACGGAGTCAGGCGTGGGAGAGAAAGACACGGCGTCAGGCGTGGGAGAGAAAGACACGGAGTCAGGCGTGGGAGAGAAAGACACGGCGTCAGGCGTGGGAGAGAAAGACACGGAGTCAGGCGTGGGAGAGAAAGACACGGAGTCAGGCGTGGGAGAGAAAGACACGGAGTCAGGCGTGGGAGAGAAAGACACGGCGTCAGGCGTGGGAGAGAAAGACACGGCGTCAGGCGTGGGAGAGAAAGACACGGCGTCAGGCGTGGGAGAGAAAGACACGGCGTCAGGCGTGGGAGAGAAAGACACGGCGTCAGGCGTGGGAGAGAAAGACACGGAGTCAGGCGTGGGAGAGAAAGACACGGCGTCAGGCGTGGGAGAGAAAGACACGGCGTCAGGCGTGGGAGAGAAAGACACGGCGTCAGGCGTGGGAGAGAAAGACACGGCGTCAGGCGTGGGAGAGAAAGACACGGCGTCAGGCGTGGGAGAGAAAGACACGGCGTCAGGCGTGGGAGAGAAAGACACGGCGTCAGGCGTGGGAGAGAAAGACACGGAGTCAGGCGTGGGAGAGAAAGACACGGCGTCAGGCGTGGGAGAGAAAGACACGGAGTCAGGCGTGGGAGAGAAAGACACGGTGTCAGGCGTGGGAGAGAAAGACACGGCGTCAGGCATGGGAGAGAAAGACATGGAGTCAGGCGTGGGAGAGAAAGACACGGCGTCAGGCGTGGGAGAGAAAGACACGGAGTCAGGCGTGGGAGAGAAAGACACGGCGTCAGGCGTGGGAGAGAAAGACACGGAGTCAGGCGTGGGAGAGAAAGACACGGCGTCAGGCGTGGGAGAGAAAGACACGGAGTCAGGCGTGGGAGAGAAAGACACGGCGTCAGGCGTGGGAGAGAAAGACACGGCGTCAGGCGTGGGAGAGAAAGACACGGAGTCAGGCGTGGGAGAGAAAGACACGGAGTCAGGCGTGGGAGAGAAAGACACGGAGTCAGGCGTGGGAGAGGAAGACACGGCGTCAGGCGTGGAAGAGAAAGACACGGAGTCAGGCGTGGGAGAGAAAGACACGGAGTCAGGCGTGGGAGAGAAAGACACGGCGTCAGGCGTGGGAGAGAAAGACACGGAGTCAGGCGTGGGAGAGAAAGACACGGCGTCAGGCGTGGGAGAGAAAGACACGGAGTCAGGCGTGGGAGAGAAAGACACGGAGTCAGGCGTGGGAGAGAAAGACACGGAGTCAGGCGTGGGAGAGAAAGACACGGCGTCAGGCGTGG